TGTCCACCTTCTGTGTTGTTGCACCTTCTGTGGTGGAAGGACAACATGGAGAGTGATAATCTCCTACTCTCCATCAGCCAAAACTCCTCTTGGGTCCTTTTTTCTGTACAAAAGCCAGTTGATGCTCCCAAATCCCAGCAGAAATCTTGGATGAATCTTGATCAACATGAACCAAGCTCAGATCCTCAACCTTTGAACCCTTGAGGTCAAACAAGCCTGAAGTTTGGTCCTAAGGAAGAGCAACAGTGAGGAAAACTGGGAGAACCCAAAGCAGGACTCAGGGTTTGGATCACAATCCCAACCTTCTCCTGAGCATCCTGAAGGTTTCCCACCAGGGTGGTTTGCACCATGTTCCATGTGGGACGTGACAAATATCCAAAGGCAGAGATGGGACGTGTCAACACATTCCCTGTTCCCAAATTTCAGGGCACTGTCACCTCCTCACATCAACGCTTTTCCCCCTTGGATCAGCAATTCAGGGACAACACTCTCACTCCACTTCCTCCTGGCAGCTGCTGGGGATGAAGCTGTTCCTGGGCTGACAGCTCCTGGCAACACAGATGGAACTTCATCCCCTCCAAAACTTGACAGAATCAAATATGATTTATATTTAAAACTCGTGAGCAGATGGGATGAACGAGGTTCTGCATATGAAGAGCCTTTAATGGCACGACAGAGAAATCACAGAGCTGCCTCAACAGCACTTGAGATTCATCAGGGCTCAGAAATCCTCGTTGCCAGCCCTGCTTTTGCTCCCCACCCTTCCCAATTAAGAGCTTCCCGTTGGCAGGTTAATGGAGAACCCAACAGGTGGCTCCTCTAATGGGCTCTCGATGTCCTGCCTCGACTGTGGCACTTTTCACCCCATTCCTGGGCCTGTCGTGTTTCCTGGTGGCAGCACAGCAGAATTCCAGGGCTCATTTGCATATTTTTAATGGAATCACTTAAGAAAAGTCGGGAGTCACAGCCAGGATTGAGCACAAACTACTCCCCCACCTCAGTTTCTCATCTGGACCATCTGAGAGCTCGAGAGCAAAATCCATCCTTTGAAAAATCAACATATTTCCCCAACAGCTTCTGCTTTTTCCAACCACTTTCTACCTTTTGTTTCAAGCAGAAACACAGCAAAACAGGAAATCATTTCATTCCCATTTGAATAAAACCCCATATCCGGAGAGCATCAGCAAACCCCTCCAGCAGTGAACCCAACATTAATCCAACAAAAAGAAAGATTTTGCTTGTGAGCCTTGACATGAATCAGAAAAAGGATCAAATCAGCACTAAATCATCACCAAAACAATTCTGGGAAGATCTGAGGGAGAGATTCCCCTCCTGGCCAGCACAGTTGTGACAGTGCTGCAAAAAGGGTCCCAACCACAACCCCGAATTTCTCTCCATGTTAATTATCTGTGATGAAAAGCTTCATTACCTGGAAAGTCAGTTGGATCCTCAGACATCGTTAATGGATTTCCTGAGGCAAGCACAACTAAATTTACCACTGTACTTTATTTTGGTTAATATTTCTGCTCTGTTTGAGCAGAGCCGTGAAAACAAATAGAGGGGGATTTGCTCTGCTCACACAGGCTTGATTTGCTTTCAGAGGCTGTGATTTGATCAATAATTAGATTTCAGGAGTGTTCTGAGTCACCCACCACAGTCATAAACTCTTCATTTGCCCAAGGACGCTCTGTGACAATTTTCCTACCCAGCTCACAATTTTGGATATAAATGGAGGGGAAAAATAACTAAAAGTGAATCATTTTCCTCCTCCAGCAGCGTGAAAAAAGCCAGGAGAGTTGTGATGGAATCCACCACGTACCTGTGGGAGCAGCAGGGAGCAAACAATGCCCAAAGTGGCCTCGAAGTTGTCCTTGAGCCAGAGCCCCACAGCGTGGATACAACCCCGGACATGGATGATGCTGAGCAGCTCCAAGCGCTGGGAAAAGGGGGAAAAAACATCCTTGTCACCCCCAGAGGCATCCAAATCAGCTTCTCTCCCACCACCAAACCTCCAAACACAGCTCATTACCAGCATCTCCAGGTCCTGGTCCAGAAAAGGCCCAGCAAACCCCACAGGGATGTCGTGGCTCAGGAATGTCCCAGGGAATACCCAAACTCACATGCTCTGGGAGCCTGAGAAACACCCCAAAATTCCAGGGAAAAGCAATAAAATGGAATTTATACTCAGCTGGTACCTCCAGACTGTTCCAACTGGATTTTTTTTAGGGGATCTGGGGAAGAGGAAGCAGCAAATCTCTTAGAGAGTCCAAAAAGTCACCTCTTTGTCGAGTGTCCTGTACCCACAGAGGGTGTTCACGACCTCCCCAGGGGCCTGTGGAGAGAGAAAGTTGAACAAACTCATCCCAGAGCAACAAAAGTATACAAAGAAGTACAAGAAACAAGACTTAAAAACAAGAAATAAAAGAGCTGCCCCATCTGGGACTATTCAGAGCAGCAAAAGTCGAGCAGACTCCAACCCTCACACCTCACGTTGTCACCTCAAGGCTCTTTTTTGCCCAAAGGTGATGCTTGAACTGGAAATTTTGGCAGAAAGTTGTTGGGGGATTTTAATTATATTTTTTCAACCCCTTTTCTCTCTGTTTTCTGCTGTTCTGGAGGATGTTCAGGCCCCCAAACCCTCTCCCAGTGATTTAAACCATGACCATCTCCACATCCTGGGGGCTCCTGTAAAGCAGCTCTTCCCCAGCATTCCCTGGACTTTCACCTCCAGCCGTGTGTCTCCTTCAGAAAAAATGGAATTTCACAGGGATTGAAGGTATTGGGCTCTCCAGAAATCAAGACTTTGGGAATTTCCCCAAAGTCTTCCATCACT